TCCAGACATCACCATTTGTTGTTCCTTGAGCTGCTTAGCCACGTCTCTGGCAGAAGAACCAAAAACTTCAATCCAAGTTTTGAAACTTAAATCGTAGACTCTTTTGGTTTGACCTTTTGAAACTTTGTAAAACTTTATACAAGAAAATTGTATAAATTCATATTAATTTCAACACAATTCAATTTGAACCAATGATATGTGTATCCGATAACAGAAACCAAACCAAATACCATAACATTTTGAATTGAAGCAAATTGAACTTACAGTTTTTTCATGACGATCTATACTACCATGGCATCTACTGACGCTTCAATGGCTTGCTTAGAACTCTTGTTTTTTCCTGTACAAGGAATGAAATAAAGGCTCAATAAATATTTGTTTGGGAGGAAAAGAACTCAAACTGAAAACATAAAGCACAGAACCAAGTATTAGCCTGATGCTGCATCATTTCAGAAGATCAGCTTATGTTTTCTCCTTAAGCGTTTGTGCTTCAAACTCTTCTTTGTTTGAAATTTTGTTGGCATCTTGAGATGTACCTGTGTCTTAGGAACCAACTTCAAATTAAAATGAAAAGCAGAGGTACCTGTATCTTAGCATGAAAAGATTCTTTCTGAACAGGAAAACCCAGCTGCACATACAATTTCATGTTAAAGCTTTGAAAACCCCTATTACAAAGGTGGTCAAATTTGTTACCTTCATGCCCATAATTCTGTTTTTGTCCAAGTTAATTTTTTTTTCTTGGCTCAGCAGAATTGTCTAAGTTAATTGAGAACGTGCTAACATATTATTATTACTAGCATAAAAAAAAGGAGAAGGATGGCATATCATTTCTTCTTGCCACAGACAACAACTCTTATTTTTTTTTTGCCCATAGACAGACAGCAGCTGCTTTGATTCACCTTTCTGTTATATTCCCTCGAAACATCAAGATCATCCATGCATGCATATGGTTAAAACGTAACATAAAACTTTTGAGCTTTGAAGATAGAGCAAGTTTGATAAAAATGGAAAACAAAAAAAAAATTAAGGAGCTAGAACATGGTATAGCTTTTGTTGGAATGCCTTGGTGAAAGTAACAAGGAGCAGACTATATTCAAATTATCATGGAATTACTATAAAATTTCGTGCAGGAAAGCCGAATTATGAGCTTTGAAATCTAATAAAAAAGGCTAGGCCATAATTGGGATAAAATTAAAAAATTTAAAATCCCGTTTCATTGATACTTACTCACTTTTGCTGTTTAATTTTTTTTATTTTAATAAAACAGTCGCTTAAAATAAAATCATAAATTCTGATATTTAAAATTATTACTTATTTTATCTATAATCTGTCAAAACTAAATGTTATTTAATTTATTTTTACATTCAAATGTGATTTTTGCATGTTTGCTTCGAACATTAAAAAGAAAGTAGCAAATTATCAACCAACCGAATTAGATTAGAATTAAAATTTTGGAAAATAAAAAGTTGAAAACTAAGAAAGAGAGAGAGAGAGTACCACCTGCAATGCGTTCTAGTTTAACAAAAATCTGGTGTTGGGATGTGGGTTTAAGGCATCAAGGAATGCTGATGATGCTAACCTTGCATTCAAAATAGTCAAATTCTGGAAATGTATCTTGCTGTGAAGTTTTGCTCTCTTGGCCTCTTCAACATGGAAAGTATTTCCCATCAGCTTCACCTCAAGTTCTTCACGAAGGAGGCCCAAGTTTTCCAAATCTTCAACACTGAATTTTTTAGGGTCCTTGCTTCCTTGAGCGATGATACAATCAAATTCCTGAAGACTATTTAATTTGGCTATCCCTTTTGGATAGTACTTTAGGTTCCCACAATTCGAAGTACTAAGATACCTCAAGTTGATCAGTTTCCCTATACCATCCAGTAGTTGCTCAAGAAAAATACAACCCAACACACTCAAGAACTGCAAATTATGCAATTCACACACTTCTTCAGGCAATCATTTTAGGGAACGTGAAGACAACTTAAGAAATCTCAAATGAATCAATTTTCCTGTTTCTTTTGGAACCCTATCATTCCATCTACTAAAATCCACTAATCTTAGAACTTCTGTGCAATTGAACAAGTTCCACAAGAATTCATAAGCAGCATCACCAATTTGATCCATACTTAAGAGGCTCCGTAATTTTTCTAGACCATAGACAGAGATGTGAAAATTATGACTTTTTCAATTTGATAAAATCAGATGATGGGGCTTCACCGAAAATAAATCAAGCAACCCACATTCATTGTCCTTTTCTAAAATTTCATCTTTAACCAAAAACCTGACAAAGTCATGCACTATGTCATGCATCTTACAACTGCTCCTCCTATGAATATAATCCCACTTAAAAGCTTGAAATACAGAGCGAGATGCTAAGCAGTTAAAGTACTCTTCACCAAGTAATTCCATCTCTTCATTTCCATCAGAGTTTAAGTAGCCTTGCGCCATTCAATGTCTGATTAATTCATATTTTCTCATCTCATAATCTTTGGGAAAGATCACACAATACAAAAAGCATTGTCTTATCGACGAAGGAAAATCATAATAACTTAGCAATAGAGGTGTGAATATATATTCTTGTGCAACATTTAATTTCCACAACTCACTGTTCAGTACATTTAGCCACTCAATTTTACTTGTTTTCTCTGGTAACAAACCTCCTAAAGTCTTTGCGGCAAGTGGCAAACCTTTAGGCTTCTTTGCTATTTCCTTTCCAACATCCTCCAAGCTTTCACACGATTCCTTGTCCTTTCCAACAAATGCTATTTGGCTAAGTATCAACCAACAAACTTCATCAGACAATTCTTCCACATAAAACTTACGAAATGACTCCATCCCCACTGCAACTGATTCCTTACGAGTAGTTAGTAAAATCTTACTTCCCGACATGCCCTGTTGAAGAATAGTTTTAAATGGTTCCCAATTTTCATCTTGATCTGTTCACACATCATCTAAACCAAGAAACAAAATTTTCATTTCTGATTTTTTTCAAAAATTTCGTTTAAAACACTTTGTAACGATATTGAATTTGGCAAGGTTTTTGAGCCTTGGTCAAGACTTCCCAAAATTGCTCTGGCAATCTTGTGTTGATAAAAAAAAGTCCGAAACACACACCCAAATTATTCTGGAAAACTGTGCCTGAACTTGAACATCATTATAGATCAATTGAGCAAGAGCTGTTCCTCCGATTTCTCCCATCCCAACAACGGAGATGGTTTGCATGCTATCCTTACTCAACAATGTGGTTACTATCTCTTTCTTAACTTCATCTCGACCATGTAAGTTTGACACATCAACAAAAGACGCGCTCTCGAATCATCTAGGTTGCTTAATTTCCCTTCTCATCAACTGATACCAATCTTTATCTTCAGCAATCTTATCCAACTCTTGATCAACTTTTTTTTTTTTTGTTTTGACAGCAATGGTATAACGCCTACTTTACTTGAGGAAAAAAACAACATGAGATGAAGGAAAGTACCTTCCTCTTCAGAGTTGTTTCCCCATTTCAAGAATGGAGTGTTCCACTCATCCAATATGTCCTCCAAGTCATAAGACGCCTCTTTAACTTACTTTATCCAAAGTTTGACACTTTTTTCCTTCATTTGCTTTTCTTCGGCATCTGAGATTTCCTTCAAGCTTTCTGATGTCTCAGCGACCTCAACTCTTGCTCTGCAGTTTGAACGGTACATGTTGTCAATTGCCGCAAAATTGCAGAAACAAGTACTGCCGCCATTTTCTTCACCAACTGGGATGATGGCTTAGAGGGAAATTGACGGGAGAGATGGTCAATTAGCAACAATGGATGGTAATGGAAAGGATTTTTTCCTTTTGTGGGGGCAGCAATGGATGCGAGGAAATCTTGCATTTGGTCTACGTTGTCTCCCCTATAGGCCATAAAGTACAAGGAAATCTTCTTTTAATTCATTTAATTTTTTTTATTTTTAAATTTCAATATAACTTAATTGGCATTAGTGTTAAACTTTGCTATCAAGTAAAAAAGGCTTCGAGGTTAGTGTTTACGACTATTTTCTAATTCGAGTATTATTCGTTCATAGACAAAGGGAATCCTTAAGAATTGTTTTATTTACAGCTGACAAGATATATTAATTAAATACTACCATTTATTATTTATTTCCATTTTTATTACCTTTCGGAAATGAAATGAAATGAAATGAAATGAAATAAAATAAATATTTTCACTTGACAATTGGGAATGGTGGGCCTGCATCTGCCGACAGCCTGAAACCACTTGTACCAATCCTTTTTCCTTTTCTCGGCCACAAAATTGTATACGTAGGCTGTTTAGCAGATAACAGAAACTGAAGAATGAACCTTGGATCACTATTCCTTGCTAAGTTCTGACAACTACGCACCCATTCAAGCTTCACTTGCATTTGCTTGACCTTCGTCCACACCAATGGTGGGATTTTTGAGCAGTTTACCAACAATGCTTAAAGCATGAAATCATTGCCTCATTTGCAGGTGCGCTCGCCTTTGTGTAGATTTTATTTCCTACCACCATGATCACCCCGTATGTGATGTGTCTGTACTTAACTCTCTGACTGTGTCCCTGAGAGTGTGTGTTAATAAATTGTCCAACAATGGACACTCACCATAAGATGTGCTCAGATTTCCTTGTGGTTCATAATTTTCAGGAAAAAAGGACCAAACTACCAGTACATCGTGGACTAGTGGCTCGGCCTTAGAACCACTCAAATAAAATGTTGCGGCTTCTACACCTTGTACAAACTCAGAACAAACCAAGCCACAAACTCATCAAACTTTCACCACTACCAAAGTAATGGCATAAATCAGAATGTGAATGAACCTGGTTAGTTTTCCTGAATTTCGAAACATTCACTACAGGAAGCAATAGGGAAGCATAGTGAATGTCTTACTACAAGGTCTTTATTCCAGTTTGTTGCTGTGCTTGGTAAGAAGATAGATGTACAAGTATTGTTAAGTATTCCATCAGTCATGTTAATCATTCAACAAACTATATCAAGATGAATCTCTTGATTTCATTTTTATATTTAATTTCTTTATCTCAATTAACAGTTAGTATATTTTGTATTGTCTATTGAATATCAGTTGTCCAGATAGTGTAGTAATGTAGCTAACAAAATCAAAATTATTATAAACTGGGCATTCAAATGGCAAGCAGAAGATAAATAGTGGGAACCTACTAAATGCACTGTTCCAGTCCGTTCATCCAGTACTTGTATGCTTGAAGAACCTGAAATCAAACGTAAAAGAGGTCAACAAAATCGAAAACAAAAAACTCTATGTTTCTATTGCAGATCATTTAGTGCTTTCTAGCTAGAATTGATACTTCATTGTTGTACCATCCAAAGTTTTATCATCTTCACTTGAAAGTCAAAAAGAGAAATACATCCAAAAATATCCTTTTTTTTTCTTTTTCCTTTTTGAGTGTGTATGAGCAGCTAGTTGGGAGTATGCTCTTGAGTACATAAAACAATATGACATCCTTTACCTTCCAAATAAAAAATCACATCTAGGATTTTTAACATATTAGAAATTAGTGATAGAAGCAGTCAAGCCAGAGGTGTCATAGGAATATATTATCTATCAATTTTCTAGTCAAGGAATAATCCACATTGAATTTTTTCCCCCAACCTCCAATCCCTAGCTCCTTCTGTTTATTTATAGCTATTCTTCAGGGTAATACTTAGGCATTTATTGGGCTAGCATACTTGTATACTATAGTTTGAACTCAAAAAAAGACCATCATAATATAAAAACAATACAGTTTTTATTTACAGAGAAATCTTTTTGCAGAAACCTAAAATAATAAATGCAAGAACATCATCTTAAGGCCCCCCCTAATCTGATAATATGGTACATGTCTAGACTGCAATTCCATTATGATCCAATTCTGATTGATAATAGATACAGGGGCTTTGCAATATTTGATTGATCACAATTCTACATATTACATTTCCTATAGAAGTTCCAGGGCAGTTCATTAAAGGAATATTTCCAATAAAAATTTTTTGTTCTTGCATATCCTCACTGTTAAGCCCCGATCTATGAACCCACAAAATCCTTCAACTGTATCCGATTCAACCCAGGTATTGTAGACATTTCCCCATTTTCATCTATGTGCACCAAAAAGCAGGCAATTGAACAGAATAATAACATTTATTGTTCTCCTTTTCTCTCTACTTCCTCACTCCTCTCCTTAGTTTCTTGTACTTCTATGTATTCTCTCTTTTTCCTCTCTTCCTTACTATGTCTACTCCCATGCTGCATCAAGTTATCCTCTACTTGGCTAACTGGCATACAAAGATTTCATTATTGATGGAAAAGTATTTGTAAGGTTGTAGTGACCGAGAGGGAGGTATTGAAGGTTTTGTGCATAAAACAATGGTGGTGTTGCTGGTCAAATAGTATTGTCTACGGTTCTCTCTTTTTTTGCTTTGTAGAACTTAATGAAAGCAAGGAAATCCTTTTCCACTTCAAGAGAGAGAGAGAGTGAGAGAGAGAGGGAATATTTTGTCTAGTTAAAAATATAGATGAAAACTTTAAATATCTTGTGGTACATGCTTTAAAGAAAGAAGGACAAAGGCCAACCTATTTAAAACATTAAATGATAATAATACTTCAGAATCCAGATGCAATCAAGTAAGAAAAGGAGAGCAGAAACATGTCTTATAAATCAGACACAATGAGTGTAAAGCAAACAAAACTTTTTTGAGGAAAGGGACAGTAACATGATACTCACAATTGTACTCTGTCCATCCAATGACCTGATTTTCCAAATCATACAAAACAAGCTTGTTTGAAAGCACTAAATCTGTACAGAACACAACAGAACTCAGGGGAAATAACAAATTACTTATTTGTGCAAATTCATTACAACTTAAGGTCTAACAAAATAAATATTAAACACTAAACACTCAAAAACTCCATTTAGTTAGTCACTTGAATTTAAATACTTAATTCCTTTTTAATCCAATTTATGATGACATCCTTTTATTCTTCTATATAATTATTTGGGAAATTCTATTCATAGAGAAACAATCATCCAGGACAACCTAAGATATTTCATGATAAGATGCAGCAAAAATGTGTTTCATGAAATATAATGAGAATAAGCAATGAAATTTTTTTAAAGTGCAGGTTAAAGGCCACCTAATGCCAGGGGTATATGTTTCTTTAGGGTATGGGTATCATGATGAGTTCCAGATTCACTGGAAATTCCAGAGTTGGACTCTTAGAATGTTATTTTAGGTTTAATATGTTATCAGGTTTTTGTTAAGCATTGTTTTTAGTTAATAATCTTGTTAGCTTTCTATCTTGGATCTCAATACTATGAATGATTAGAAGTACTGAAAGTCTATGCATGTAATGATTTTAAATAGACAGCAAGTTTTGAATATTTTATTATGCTCACTGGGGGTTGAGTGAAGCAACCCTAACCCATGTGTTAAGACTTTGGGGCCTTCAGTTTGAAGCATAACCAAATAGAGGTATAATGCATACACAACCCTAACAGCTAACACTGAATTGCCATTTTCAGGCACTGTTGCATTGCTCACAGACACAAATCAAGTACAAAATTTATTTCCTTTTTAATTTTTTGCAGCCTGTAAGATTCAATTATTTCCATCCTAAATCAACCATCGAACCCTAATATTATGCTCATCCATTTAAAATCTAAATGAAAATTTCTAGCGAGCTCTATGTACTTTCCTTAATTTAATGCAACCAATACTTACTGACTGTAGCACCTAAACATTTGGCTCATTGGTTGGTGCGTGATCTCTCTCTCAAAAAAAGTAAGGTTCAAATCCCCTTTCCCCCAAATATAAAAAAAAGAAATCCTTACTGACTGTAACATTAAGCCAGATGAAGTAATGAAATTCATGTCATGAACTGAAGCAACAAGGACTAAATCTACATAAACTCATTGTAGAGCATGCTTTTAAGCAACTGAGACCTTAGTTTTGTTTTTGGCATGTTACCAATCAAAACACAGAGCATTATGTCAAATTGTCCACCAATATAAAGCAAAACCTACTTTTCAATATATATATATATATATATATAAAGCAAAACCAAATATTATAAGTGAAAAATATATAAAAATAAAAAAATCCATAATTTTTTTTACCAATGCAACATAACTTGATAATTTATAAGTTGGAATATGCTCAACACATCAGAATAGATCATGAGTTATAGTACTGCAAATATTCAAACACAAGAGTGGAAGATTGTATGAAGCTATATAGCAATTATACTTGGAAGGATAGGTCCTCAATTCAGAAGTAACAAAAAGCATAGTCTGAAGCCATACCTCCCAAGAGGGTCATATTCTTTCGATCCCTGGATTGCATTCCACTGTTTTGCCATCCAATGCACCACAGACCATTCTGCAAATCTTACTCTTGTAAATATCAATTGATGCAAACATGACTTGTTTATAACACTCTAAACAACCTGTAAGATACTGTAGACTCAACTAAATGACAAACAATCCTAATACTGTGTAAAATCATGCAAGACTCAGACAAGGCCAATATTACACAACGGGCGCTTAAAGAATAGAAATAACAATGATAATAACAATAATAAAAACAACTTTACTTCCCAAAACTAAAATTAGACCCGGAAGATTGACGGCATGTGTTCTTTAAGGATTTTCTCAGTCAAGTATTATGTATTGACCAAACAGAATGGAAATACAAATGTTTATTTCAACAGCACATAAAGATTGCCACAATTTATTATGAAAATTGTGAGGTCTATATAGACATTTTTTTTTCAACACAAAGGGGATGGGGGACAGCTGTTTTTTGCTGTTGGCCCGACTTGAACTGAGGACTTACAAAGGGGCATGTCCCTGCACAGCACTAAGGATGGACCTGAATCATTTCTAAAAAAGGCAAACAATTTTCGTAGGTGAACTAACAAGCTTACTGTAAAGATATAGGGAACTGCGAACGAGGAAGCTAAATGAATCTTTCAAGCAAAACAGATATTACACCAGATTTTCAATTTATGTAGTTAAGCATACTTACAAAGGGGAATAGGTACTCATGTGGATAAACCTTCAGAATGACTGAATTTTCAAAATGGAAAGTGATATTTGGAAATCCCTCATCAAGACTGCAATAAAGAAATATAAACCAAATAAAATTATTTCTTGACACAATATCAAAATAAGATGTAGCATATAAAACTAAATATGGCAATCGTTTAGTGAAATAATCTAGCCAAAGAAGCAGAGAACTGTTGTGACAAAAGACTATAATCTGAACATGTGGACAAGAAAGGAATCAAGCCATACATACCACCATCATCATCAAGAACTATGCAGTTAGAATGACAAATTAAATCAACAGGCATTCTTATAACATAAGACATGTACTAATGGCATACAATTTCTTTGAAGGGAAAATTTTATCAAAAGCACCTTAAAGAAGGTTCAGCTCTAGGACAAAAGAAGAAGCACAAACATATATTAAGAGAAAAATTATTTTAAACTGAACCACAAAGCAAAATAGAAAAAAAAAAAGGAAAAAAAAAACTGATAAAAATTATCCCCAGAAAGAGTTATGATGCCAGATAAAATTGAAATAAATAGAGGAATTTAAGACATGAAAAATTAAATAATATTCAAATTTAAACATGATCAGCAGTTTCAATGCATGACAAGAAGGGAATTTACATAAGTGCTCAAAAGTCACAATTGATATATCCCAGGCTTCATACCTTGCAGAGTACTGAAAACATGTATACTCATCATGAACAGTTTGAAGCTTCAAATGAGGCTGCTGAGAAAGTATCTAAACAAAGACAAAAAAAACATATGAATTTAGCAAGCTGAAATGAAATTTTCTGGAAGACAAAACAATTTTGTATCACATACCTTACTTACTAATGGCTCATAAACCATTTCAGGGAGATATGCCAAGGTTGTTCCACTGTCTATTATTGTCCCTTTTCGATCTCCTGCCTCAAATATATCTGTCGTAAGATTTAGGAAATCATGACCAACTTGAACTGCTGTCATATTGACATTGTAATGTGGCCTGAAATTTTATATGATAAGATGGAGTTCAATACACGGAATTACAGATCCATATACTAAAAGTGAATTATAAGATAAACTTTAAACATTGAAAATCAAAATCATGAACATAAGTTGATAAATAACCTATCATAAAGAGGTTAGTCTCTGATGCAGTCAGTAGTAATGTGTTGTTACCAATCATGAGCAACACAATGGTTTTAAGCCAGAAAGAAATATCTTGGCATCAAGACAAAGAAAATGTAGTGGGTGCACAATTTCCCTAGGCATTTCACAAGAGAATATTTCCAAATTGTGATCACTTCAATTATGTTATGCAGAATACATTTATTCAGTATCGGTTCATCTCATCTTTTCAACTTTTCCTTACCCTTTCTCCAATATTTCTCTTCCCAATCTGTCATCACATAACTCTAGAAGGCACTACACATAATCCAGCTACTACAAAATTTTAAAACTTTGCTTAACTGGCAAATCAAATTTTCAAATGACCACTTGGAAAGACATCCCTCTTGAAGCTCCTATTATCATAGTGAATCATCATGAATGGATCAGCAAAACAACTATAAGAGTATTCCTTTATTTTTCATTCTCAATGATTCACCATAATATATCAGTGGAGCTTGCCATAAACTATAACATCAGCTTAACCATGTTCAACCTGTATAACAATGAAGTGAAGCAAACCACAAAATAACTTCACAACAAATTGAACAAGGCCTCAGAGCCATGATTACATTTACAAATACAGTTTTTTGATCAGTTGTCACTCTCCTCTTTTCCAATGGCTGCTAACCCAACAGAATAACCTTAGTCAAACAACTACTATTGATCATTAGTCATCAAATCATTTCTAGCAAGTTAAACCTTAAGCCTTCAGCTTGTCCTTTTAAGCTGTAAAACTCAAGACACAAATAATCCATGAGCCAAAACAGAAATATGATTATCAGCACATGATTCTCATTCAGTCCTTCCAGACAACAATCAAATTTCCCCTGTGATTGTTTCCTCCAAATAATGTATTTTATAACACATAATGTTTAAATAAACCAGATTAATAGGAAATAAAATGTGAGAAAGTAATAAGTGGAAACTGTTCTACTTAAAAACAAGTAATGATATTCACCAAAGATGTTACATACTGATTTGGTACCAACGGAGTCATGTTGACTTTTGGTTGCACAACGTGCCCAATAGCAAAGATACCACCTCCATTGACTCCGTCTAAGCAGTGAGCAAACATCTTTTCCACTTTTCCAGATGAAGCAAGCTGGGAAATCATTGACGAATTAGATTTTCCAAAACCAAGTATTCCATCAAGTGCTTCTTCATTAGATGAATCTAGATTCCCTGATTGTGTAGCACCACACCTATGAAAAAAGAATGCTAGAATAACCATCTAATACCACCAAAAGAAGCACAAGCAAACAGAAGATCCACACTTTTGTTATGAGCACATACTTTTACATGCACATGCATGCATATGTTACATATGCAAAAGCAAACATTCATTAAGCCCATCATGACATAATTCCAAATAACCCTAAAAGGGATATTGATGCAACTTCATAATGTTCCCACAAACTACAACTTACAATGGTCAACAATAGGATATTTAATCAGTTCTGTTAAAACTAAACAATACGAGCAATAGATACCCTAGATAATCCCTTCTCATCACAAATATATCATCTCAAATCATATCAAATACTTAAAATTGATCTATGTGAAGCATATTTTTTACTAAAAAAACGATGTATCAGATGATGCATCCTAGTAAGAAAAATGGTGGCATGTTGTTATATCTACGAGATGGCAGACAGTTTAGCTTCTATGAACTTGTGTCTTTATAAGAAAGGATGTATCATCTCAAAACTTTGTCCTCTTCAGTTTACTTGAGAACCAACTCATAACCACTATGGCACAAGTAAAAAGACTGGACACTATTATTTCCTCCAAGATTTAAAATCTCTAAAACACGGTGAAGCCTTGAAAATTGTGATGCTTCTGAGATATCTTGCGTATATCTTCTTGTTTATCGGGGACTGGCTTTGTGTTCACTCATAACTCATCATGGGTCTTATTGAAAAGGAAGGTGAAGGGGAAGATAAAAGAAGAGAAGGCCAGGAACAAAAGATATGCTTGCATGTAACAAATGATGAGCTAGACACCAAGTTCACAATGACATTCAAAATTACAGCGCAAAGAAAATCTCATTAAATAAATTAACAAGGAAAGTACATGAAGCAATTAAAGAACTTAGGTTGAATTTTCTTAAATACTTTTTCTACCTTTGGAATAAGTTGCAAACAATTCCTACAATCTAGATGACTATCACATTGTGCCAGTCTACAGAAGAAAAACGAGCACTTCTGGACTTCAAATAGTTAACAGATTAGTTGCAATGACATCAGCAGTACTTACACATGCAATTTAGAATATTTAGCAAGAAATTGCCCTAGGCTAAGGCAATAGCAGCTTGTAAATCCTGGTTACATGATGTCAATAGCTGATTATATCTTTTTATGAAAAAAAAAAGAATACTGCATCCTGAACAGTTACTAGTTTAGAATTTAAAAGCTAACACAGTGCCACAAATATCACAAGTATGAATTAAACAAGAGTATCAGAAGGATTGACAACTAACCCAAATATAACACTTCCATTTGCAGACGATGTTTCAAGATCACCAGACACTCGATCATATAGCACAATGTCTTTTACAAAATATCCTGCAGTGGAGCTCCCATCTCCATATATCTCAAGATACGGGCAGGACATATTAGCTGTACAACCAGCCAATGGACCTCCATTTATGGCATAACAAAACTCTTGATCACATGAAACCAACTTGCCAGTGGCAGAGTCCTTAATATCGTACAAAGTAAGATCTATCTGTATGGCCCCCCCAAAAAAAAAAAAATTAATGACTAACTCCCGTAGAATTGAAAATAAAATATGCAAGGTTAAATTTGATGAAGGATACCAAAATTTTAAGGCACCATTCGATTGTCACTTTAAGTACCTGCTTTTTGCTTCCTGAAGCAAATACGAAAAAGAGCTTTGGGATGCAAAAGCAAGTAACTTTTTTTGAAGAATTAATTTGGATAACCCAAATTAATACTATTATTTTACTTTTGCATAGAAAATTTACATTAAAATCCACGTTATGTTTTAATTATTTGTTTAATTTTAATCAATTACAATTTTACTTTTTAGTTAATAAACAAGCAAAGGAAAAATAAGCAAATAAGAATAAGTAGTAAAAGCAATGAAAAAAGAGAGAGAGAAAAGGAAAAAGGGAAAACTTACACCAAGAGAGCTTCTTTTGGGGCATTCTTTACATTGAATACAATTAACCCACATTATATCACTTCCTGTGTCTACTTGCACATAGTAGTCCTTCGGAGGTGTTCCTATCCCTATTTTAGCATAATAAAGCCTACACACCAAAAATTTAAAACAAAAAACAAAAAAAAAAACACGTACTTTTGTTTAAAATTGAATCGTAAAAGCTTAGCAAGTTCAAACTTTTCAAAATAATACTAATTAAAAAAAAAAGGAACAAGAACCATGAAATACTAACCCAACTCCATCGGGCCGACCGGAACCGCCTAAGGGGAGATCGACGCCGGCGAGAATTCGGAGTTGACGGCGGCTGTCGTGCTCTATCAAGTCAGAAAACGAACGTTGACGGCCGGCGTATTTGTACTTGACGTTAAGAACGCCCCAACTATGAGCACTGCTTATAGCTGAGGCAACTAGGAGAAAGGAAATTAGTAGGAGAGAATAATAACAATCATGAGAGGTGATCCCACGAAACATAATTAATACTTTTAGCAGAAAATCTCCTTCTTCTTCTTCTTATTCTCTCCTTGTCTCTCGATTTCTTTGCTTTTCTTTATGGGTCCAGTCGTTGGAATTTTCATATTGGAAAAGAAAGATAGAAAGGAAGTGGAATTCGCCTTTTAACAGAAGAAAATAGCCATTGTCAAGTCTACCAGAGCTGGGACGCTTTTGCGTTTTGAGTGGTGGGGCCCGCGTCTTCTGCATTTTCCTCTAATCAAATTAATTAATTAATTAATTAATCTTTTGTTTTAAGAGTGATTGATTAATACAAGTATACTAGTATTACTCAAATTTCTACGGATTTTACCCCTTTACCGTTAATAGAATTAGGTGCAAATCTATTATTATTTAGGATTATCCGAACACGTGACAATTGTAAACATTAATTGTAATTGACTTTTTTATTATCAATTAAACGGATAACATTAAAATTTTTGCATCATCAATTTCTTTTTTGTCTTTTTAAAAAGAAAAAAAAAACTCTGCTCTTAAACGAAGATATGCACTTACCACTTACATCCTTATTTTAAAAAAATAAAAGTTAAATTTTAAAATAAAGATTTTGATAATATTTTAATTTTTATGAAAAAATAAAATATTAAGAAAAGGGTTTTCTAATACATTCAAAAAAACAATTATTTTTGTTAATTTTGATGACATTTGATTTGAGTTATATTCTTCAATTTTTTTTTTTATTTTGATTTTGGTAAAGGCTTTATATCAAGGTTCAATCCTAACCCACTATTTACATGTAACATTTGGTGATAACATCATTGGTGATCCTCCATTGTCAAAGGTCATAATGCTCATTTCTAAATTTAGCATATTAATACTAATATGTGAAAGAAAGATGATGGAAAATTCATTCTAGCAAATACTTTCATCTGTGGCACATGATTGAAGAAATTGGTGGAGGTTTATGAGAAAGAATTGGGAACTCAACCTACTGGATGAAGATTGTTATGAAGATAGCTGCATGGTTTGGTAAATGGTAACTTGACAAAGGGGAAGGTGGTTTTTACTGAGTTTGTGAGAGACCAAGGAAAACAGTAGGTGCAAATGGAAGAGGTACAAGAATAGTTGCCTCTAGCACGGTTAATACTCTTACTTCCACAGATACCAATGGCAGGAGTACAAGAGGAGACAGGTATGGAAATTAAAGGACTAAAAGCAGGCAAGATGGAAATTGATACTTACAACTCATTACAACAAATGTTTGTTACAAAGAGTTCTAAATTCACCATTATGACTATGCAAGGACAATAATGTCTGAAAACAACATACAGAAACTTTGTCCTTGGGTTGGGGATGGGGGTAACCATGAAGGGCATCAAAGTAAACTCCTTAAATAGGTGCAAAAAAATGACTTATGCTACTACATCAAATTCTTCCTGTCTCAAGCTGTACACTATTCTTATATGGTATTTTGATGGTGCAAGTGCCAAACTCGATGTCGGTATATAGGCAATACTAACTTCCTACTTTCAAGAGTTAAATTTTTTACTCATTGGCTAAAACATTAGATCTGAATTTCCAGACATAGTGAAAGGCTACCCCCCTATCCATAAATATATCTAAAAGATGGACAAGGACTTAATATCAGAAAGTAGGTTTCTGCCTCATCCATTTTGTTGCTGACCACTTCTCTCCTGACAAAACTTCACATCCTCCATGAATGCTATTTGGATCCGACTGTCCATCTAGCCCCTGAGAGAAGTATTGCAATACAAACAACAAAGATAATGAAATCAGAGCAATCTTTTTAAATAAATCTAAATCTGAGGTATCATACAAGATACCTTCTTTAGAGAAAGGAAACAATTTAAATTTATCACGAAGAGCAAGGAAACAAACCATGCTCCAGAAAAGCACTGCATCTCCTTTGATTGGTTTTACAGACAGCCCTTTCACAATCTTCCCACCACAGTTACAATCACCCGTACCAGCCTGAGATAACATCACATGTTTAACAAACCAAAGCAATAAAAGGTATAACATCTAATAATTGCCAAGATAAGGTTGACAAAGAAAAAACATTTGAGAAAATCAAACAAGGGGACGCATTACAAGATAATACTTAAATTGAGTGGCCTGCAGTTATGCAAGGAAAAGTATAACGTTTTTGGTAAATAAAAGGTGCAAGTATCTTGAAGAAAATTCAAAAAGACTTGAAGTAACTAGCGATAAAAAGACATAAAAAAGTAAATTGTATGCCTCGTAATAGAATTAATATCTTAATATTATAAGGGGTTGAGAAATTAAAGACAAGCTGCCGCTACTCTTGAGAATTACAAGAGAAGTGGGCCTAATTGCTTCCTACATTGCATAAACTTCACTTTTCTCCATTAATGATTCACTAGTCAAATCATATTAAAACCTAATAAGAGTGTGAAGCAGGCCGTCCACTTGCATGCTAGAATAAAAGATATATGAGCTCACAGCAATCAGGATCACTTAATACTTAAACTGCTTTACACTTTATGCTTGATAGTGATAGGTTGTTGCCTTGTGTCAAGCATGCCTCAGTGCACAACTTGAACAGTTTTCAAAAAACACAAACACCAACTGATGCAGGTGCATAAAGAAATTTATTTTTTTTAGTATTTTCGTTCGCTTAAGATTTTATTTTTTTTATTTTATTTAGTTTGAGATTTTTTTATCTTTATTAGAATTTTAGTATTTTAAGTCTTTATTTAAGATTAAGATTACTATTTGATTAGGATTTATCTTAGTTATTATAAATACCTAATCCTAGATAAAAGATTATTATTATCATATTTTGTTATTTTGAATATTTATTCAGGAGATTTTTTTAAAAAAACCTAATTATCTTTTTATTGTTCCAACACAATCAACCCTATTCTAGCCTTAATTGTTAAGTCCTAATTGCCCTAAACCCTTTCAACTACATCAAGTGGTATCAGAGCAAACAATCCTACTATTTTCTTAGCTAGGAAACTATGGTTGGCTGAGGCAGAGGATGAATTAGAGGCAATTAGCCCCAACAAGCTGAGTTGGCAAAGATGCGGAGAATGATTGATGACTTGACCCAGGCTGTGTAAGCCTTGCAACGTCTGGAACCAGTGGAAGCCCGAATGAAGAATCCGAAGGTGACCACAACCCCCTTGAGATTCAAGATCTTAAGGATGATGATGATTTTGAGAACGAAAACCCCTTTCATGAAGATAGACCCGCAAATCAAACAGCAAGAGTTGGATTGAAGGGCCAGTTATTACATGCTCTTGATTTAAATGGTGGAGGAATCAAGATCGAAGTAACCGATTTTTATGAGAAATTTCATGCAGAGGAATATTTGGATTGGGAACCTAGTTTGGAAAGTTACTTTGAATGGAAACCCATGGTAGAAAATCAAAAAGTGTTATTTGTAAAGCTAAGATTGAAAGGTACTGCATTTCAATGGTGGAAGAGAGTTAAAGAGCAACGTGCACGACAAGG